CAATAATAATACATAATTGTATATGTAATTATTGTTATTATTATTGTAATAATTGTATTGTATATTGTAATATTGTAATAATACAATAATTGTATACAATAATAATAACAACACAACTATCTGAACAGCAATAATCTGCATCACTGCAAGGGAACTGGCAAGTGGCCAGCCTAAGGGACAGCCGCTGCCAGGCAGCTTGCGGGGGAGTGCATGGGAAGGAAGCCTCGGATGAACCACTTGGACACAGATAGAGGACATCTGCACCTGCCGTGAGGACAGCACGGCCAGGGCCAGGCTCAGCCTTACCGGGTGATCAGCACTGCAGTGTCGTGGTTGGCTATGCCATTCTCGGGGATAGCATTCCCATTGCCATTCCTGTTCACAATGGATTTCTGCCACTTGCAGAAGCTGTCCAGGGATTTCCCGGCATGGTGGTTAATCTCCAGTGTGGGCTGGAAAGGAAGCAATACGACAATGTGTTCCTAGGAAAGCTCTAATACGAAGGCACTGCCTATTCCCATGGCAGCAGCGCACTGACACCAGCCCAGATGCCCCCACCTTTTCTTGGAGGCCATGGGAAAGCAAGACTTTAGGAGGACTAAAGCTACTTAAACCTCCCTAAAGCCACCTTATAGAAACAGTTCTCAGAGTCCCAGAGTTCTCCTCAGCCCAGAGCCTGAATCCAGTCCTCAGCTGCCATTGAGAGGGTATGGTGCGCTGAGCAGACTGCACTGGGGGGACCTCCAGGGGTGATATCTAGGGGGAACACACAGACCCACAAAGGAACTGAAGACACATGACAGAAGTGGCTCAGCAAAGCCCACCTTACCTGATCCTCAGTGAGGAGAATCAGCCGGGTCACCAGTATATTGACAATATTGCCCAGACTTGAGTCCTGGAAAAGTTTGGCAACCTGACCTCCAAGAAACAAGAAAAGACGAGTCTTAAAAATGAGCTCGCTGGCTGGGTGATGGTGCAGTCAGCAGGTGAGCTGGCATGTGCTGGGCACCCAGTGGAGGAAAACAGGGCTGACTGGTCAGTATGGGCTTCAGAGTCTGAACACAATCTTTTTAGATATCAGAAATGGGTATGGACTCCACGTTACCACTTGGATTGCAGAGCCACGTTCAGACCTCAGTGTCTCCTTCTGGGGAGATTCGAGCAGTGAAGCTGACATCCCATGGCACCTGTACCTTGCCTGGAGCTCAGGTGGGGAAGCCCCACGGTCCTGGCATTACGTCCTGGCATTACACAGCCACAGGGATGAAGCTCTGCTGACTGCCCATGGGGCAGGGAACAACACAGCATCTTTTAGAAATCTGCCGTCACACGAGGGGTGTTTTACAGCAGATGAAACAGTTAGAAATGGTATTGTTTTAAAATCTGGCATCTGCTTTAGAAATGCAAACAGAGCAAGCCATGAAAAGAGATCCTGCAGAGGACAGGACAAAGAACCATCACAGAGGGGCTTTCAGCAGTTTGATGGATAACTTCCAAGCCTATCTCACCTCACAGGAGGATTCAGCATGGCCAATTCAGGCTGTTAATGCATCTAGCCTGGTATCCTGCTGCCAGCAATGACCCAAATCTGATGCTGCAGAGGAAGGTCTCTGCAGTAACCCAGAGACACGGGTAGCGTGGTATGGAGGAAGGACGGTATTGCTCTCTACCCCTCACGCTGATCAGCCCCAGGCGTGAGAGCTCACCGTCCTTATGCTTTCCCATGTGTTTCTCAGCTTGGCTGGCCCTATTTGCAATGCTAATTTGAGATGAAAGATGTTGTTCAAAGAAAAGGCTTTGTTCTCCCAGTCCAGATCTGGCCTGTAGCATGGTCAGACGGGCCAGAGTTTACCTCTCCTACAGTGCCTCCCCTATACAAGAGAGAGTCCCTGCAGGCTCCATGAGCAGCAGCAGTGTGTCAGGATTTTTGACCCAAACGTCTTGCTCTGGGGATGGGGAGAAGCCACTGCCATCGTGGAACAGATCTGGTTTCCCCACTGTGTTCCCATCCTGCTTGTCTTCTTGCAAGAAAAGCACGTGGCACTCTCTGCCAAACCCAGACATGTGAGGCGATGAACAGGATTTATTCCTACTTGCTCCCTGCTGCTGGGTGTGTGAGCCCCTCAGGTCCCCCAGGGTTCATGATGTGGTTATAACACTTACAATATTCATGATGGCCAGGATGTACTGCTCTATGTCCCGCCGCCCATGGTACCCCACCATCATTTTGTCAGCCACCACCAGGGTCTCCACATAGCGCTCCGTGCTGACGGATCTCTTCAGGGGCAGCTGGCCTCGCTGGCTGTGGTTGCCCGACGGCTTCAGAGGTGAGGGCTTCAGCGTCCGCAGCCACCAGTGTCTCCCTTTCCAGGGCTTTTCATCTGAGGAAGGAAAGATTTTTCTGTTGCCTTCCCACAGCAATTCAGCGGCACACAGAGGTGAGGGGAGCGCAGCTTGAGCTTGCTTTCAGGGAAGGAAGGGTCATTGTGAGGCTCTTCATGCACCACACGCAGATCCAGCAAATGCTCCCACCACCATCGGCCGGATCTGCTGAGGTTTTCCTACTGCTGCCCAGGGCTGTCCCCATGCTCCTGCCGGCCCCGCTGGCATCCTGCCTGCCCCCCTGCCCCCACACGCAGAGGTGTGTGCCTGTCCTGCTGCAGCAGCCCCATGCACTTCACTGCCTCCGTGCTGCAAAGGCCTGCCTTCACCTCTGTGGCAGGGAAGAAGCGGCTTGAATTTAGAAACTACACAGACATAATCTGAAAATAAAGTCATTGCAGATCATTTCCTCTTTCCTTTTCCTGCCAGGACCTGAATTTAGGACTTGGCTTTTCCTCCAGAAATGGCTGCAGCCTCCAAAGCAGCAGCAGCAGATTTGTAGAACTTTCTCCAGGCTTCAAGTGCTGCTGACCCGACCTTACAGACGTCCTCAGCAGGGCCATCAGCTCCATCATCCATGGCCTGGAGACCATCACAGGGCAGGAGAGCTGACCGGGAGACTACAGCCACTCTCCTGCCCTGTCAGGAGAGGCGGCTGAATCCCCCTCCTCTGCTCTGATGCTGGATCATCAAACATCCAGCAAGACTGGGAAGGTGAGCAGATCACAGGCAGCCCCACAGCCTACTAGTTCCAGCCCCTCTTGGCTGATCAGAGGGAGCTTGCGGGGGTGCTCAGGGCCCAGCTATGCCGGGAAGGTCAGGACAGGTCCAGCCTGCAGGGCGAGGGGACGGGGCGGCTCTGCTGGGGCCAGTTGCGCTGCGGTTGTTCTGAACTGTATTTGGCCTGTGGCTCCCACTGCATCGTCTTTGCATTCCAAGAAGCAATTAGGAACAGGCTTACTTTCGTCTGGAAGCTGGGGAATGTGGCAAAGAGTCAGCAGAAGGGGAGTCTGCTGGCGCTTTGTGCAATGTGACTTTGGGAGCTGGGACAGGAGGAGCCAAGGCAGGGAAGCACAGGTTGTCTCCAGAGATGCTGGCTGGTCTGAGGACACTCAGAGCCTGCTCAGAGGAGGCTGACAGTGCCCCAGTGTCTCCAGAGGCAATGCCCCTTCCAGCAGTGATTCCTCATCTGGTGACCGTTGGGGCACTGGATGAACATCCTGAAGTGACACACAAACCTGCCACAAGCAACTGGGAACAGCTCTGCTTTTGCATCCACAAACTCTAATCCATAAAATGCGAGCTGGCACACAAACCTGCCACAAGCAACTGGGAACAGCTCTGCTTTTGCATCCACAAACTCTAATCCATAAAATGCGAGCTGGCCTCTCTGCAGGGATGGCATCTCCTCTCACCCTTACAGAGCCAGGGGAAGCCTCTGTAAACTGAGGGAGCAGCATCCTGTGTGCATGCAACATTTTGGGTACATGGAGAAACTGCACATTTGCAACGGTTTCAGCCAGACTCTGGGACACAGACTGACTGCTAGCAAGGGCAAGAAGGGCACAGGCATGTGGGGAGCAGCCAAGGAAGACCTCTGTGAGTCTTTCTGGAAGTCAAAGGCCTGCAAGTGTAGAAATGGGGTAGTTGTGCAATTGGCATTCTCTATAAATGTCTCCCAGCGCCCACTGTGACTAACCAGATCCCACATCCCACCCTACAAGGCATCCTTCCACCTGGTCTCTAACAGCAGCAGATGTATGTCAACGTGGACACAATCTTCAGTGACTAAAACCCAAAGACAAGTCTCTGCTGAGCATGCGTAAGTTATGATTTCTCAATACCTTGTAAATTGGCCAAATCTGTGAGGATTTTTCTTAAGAACAATAAAAGGCAGTTTTTTTCTCTTCTATTCCATGCTCTATTTACAAATTTAAAAGCCCTGCTGCGAAGAAGAGAGTACAACAGCTTTCCAAAGACCAGACCACCAGAAATCCTTAAGATGGGTAAAAGTAAATACAGAAAACTTTCTTCAATGCAGGAGATAAATTTGGTTCTTTGCCATATAGATCAGTGTGGACCTTCAAAGCCTGGTCTCCCGGGACTTTCCCAGCCTGCACTGGGATGGACTGAGGATGTGTTGGTGGGTACAGATACCTAGCACGCCGCAGGCTGCATCCATGTGTGGGTACTGGAGAGACGATCGCTTGTACACGACGTGGGGGCTGCCCTTGCCCTCGCTCCCTGTGCTGACATTGGCTCCTGGGCTCAGCGGTTCAATGAAATATTCCTCCTCATCTGCAACGATCACCCCATGCTGCAGAAGGAAAGAGACAGAAGGCAATAAAAGAGGTAGAGAGAGAACTGGCTGACATACTGGTGGCTTCTCATAATGAGCTTTCTGATGATTAAACACTGAATTTCTGGGGACTGACAAATACTTTTGAGAATGTGAAGGAATCCTTCATTTACACACACTGAACTATATGAACCTACAGATCAGAGAAAACCAAGCCAGATGGTTTGATGCCTTGAGACATCTGTGTTCACTAAAGTCCTCTGGAAATCAGTCTTTCCTTGCAAAATTATGAGTAAGTTGTTTCCTATTCCACCCACTCAGCCTAACTAAGAACTGTCTGTGGGATCTTAAATACCACACCTTCAAATAGCAGCACAACTCAGCAGTGAGATAGGCCTCCTACACTTTTCAACCTCAGCAAAGAACCTTTGAGAGCAGATCAGGACCATTACCACCAGCTGGGAAACTCAGGCACAGAGCTGCAGAGAAGTGTAGATGCTCAGAGGATTTTGAGAAATGCACTGAAATCTTTAAAATCTGAAGTCCAATGAGCAGTGAGGCAATCAGCAGGAGCCACCACCTTTCTCTGCAGCCTCAAGCCTGGGTTGTGCCCTGTGTAGGCATCACCAACCCTTTTACACCTCTGACTGGGCACCTCAGTCAGATGATGTTTCTGGTCCCTTATTTGTTTTTTGTTGTTCTCCCTTATTTTATTCTTTGACTGAATGAATCTCAGCTGTGAGCCCAGACTTTGCTCTCCAGCAAGATGAGCAACCAAACCCACCAGGTGCTTGCAAGATCTCTCCTCTGCAGCTGGGTCCTATGCTCACAGCAAGCTTTCCCTCTACCTAAAAGCTCTAAACAACCTAAAAAGTTTCTGGCAGCCCAACATGATCCAAGTAAGAAGCTTGTACCAACTCCTGGCACTGAATCTCACCTAACTCCAAGAAACCTGGGTGTGCTATCAGCTGAACTTTACCAGCAAGCAACCGAGGCACAGAAACATGACTGACATTGCTCAAGCAGGACAAGGAGTATCCCAAAAGCCTAAAGCCTGACGTTACCTGGCTCTTCTCCCACTCCCTGTGTGAAAGCATAGCTCTGGGTGCAGAGATGCTCCTGTCCTGCCATCAGCTCTGCACCGGTGGTGTGCTTTGAGTGTCACAGCACTTTACCATCTCCCCTCTATGCAAGAGGGAGAGGATGCAGAGTGGGGAAGCAGGTCTCTCTAAAACATCTTGAGGTCCTTGCATGGAAGGCACCACCCGTGTAACAGCATTATGCCTGGGCGTTCATAGGGGAGAGCCTCTCTGGGGTGGATGCTGCCTCTGTAATAGGTCTCTCCCCCTCTTCCTCCCTGTCCTGAAAGCTGAATCAGGGCAGTGTGTGCATAGCGAAGTCCCCATCTCCAGAGTGCCGGGGGATTTCCTCCTGCACCAGGCTCTGTTGCTCTTGGCTCAGCTCCACCTTTTCAAACACAAGCGAGGTACTGTGAGGTTAGCCTGGCGAGGGCTCCGGCGGAAAGCCGAGTGTCGGCCTGCAAAGCCAGCTGGCTGCTGGCTTTGTGGGACGGGGAGAAGGAGGTCACCACCGGCTTGGGGCAGAGCAGCAGGAGGGGAGAGCACGTCCTGCCCAAAAACCACGTACTGCTAGAAAAGGACCGTTCTTAAACCCAGAGCCTGTGCAGAGTGCAAGAGGCAGGAGGCTCCACCGCCTGCCTGGCATCCTTTGGCAACGACGCTCAGCTGTCACACGATTCTGAAAACTGCCCCATCGCTGACCCCAAAGACCAAGCTCTAAGGTCTGGGCGCTGGACGTGACACAAGCCTGTTGAAAAGGGGTGACGAGAAGCCCTTAGGGAGATCCCTGTGGTTTGTGGGGGAGCTAAACTGGATATCCTGCCTATGATTCATCCAGGTCATCTGCAGAGCAAGGATGGTTTATGCTATTAGCTTATAACCACACTTAAGAAAAACAGAGCCACATACTGCAATTCAGCTCTTCCACCTCCTCGTACATGCACATAAGCAGCTCGATGTTAGCCTCAGCAGCGGGACCATCTGCCTTGCTCCAAGCATTTAATGTTCATGCTGACTTCAGGAGGGCTTTTCAGGTGAAAGCACAATTTCAGCACAGACACACAGGGTTGAAAACCTGGCCTTTAAACTGTCCTTTGATGAACTCTGACAAGAGAGAAGACAGTGTCATTTCTCTCCTAAAGTTGTTTTGTCCTCACTGTGATTTTTTTGATGGTAGGACATGGCTCCTTAGGATCTCATGCAGTGGATGAAATTGCTGTCTTTGCTTAAGACAGGGATTTCAGCCTCTGGCCAGGCTGAGACAAAGCTGCCTGGGCCGCTCCCTGCAGGCTCCAGCTGCCATGGCTCCACTGTTTTGGAAAACGGACCATTTTGCCCTTTGCTGCTGACAACTTAAGCCTGGGTGACCTTCCCCCTGCTTAGCCTGAAGTGCAGCACGGCGTGCCCTCCATGGGAGATGCATGGGGTGAGCCACGCTGCCTGCCTGCACTCAGGCCGGGGTGACGGTGCATGTGACCAGGAAGATGAATCAATGGGAATGTGCCCAGATATTGGCAGTCCAAAGCTGGGGTGATGTAAAGTACTAGTTTCATTGTGGGTGTTTGAAAACAAAGCTGTTTACAGCAGTACACCGTGCAGACACAGAAATTGCTTAGAGATGCGGGAGTTTGAGGACAGGAGGATGGCTTGGGGCTTGTTACCCATTTTCACCGCTTTGTTTTGGATGCTTCTGTGGACACCCATCATCTCTTTCCTTCCACCTTGTGCACAGCTCACCCCGTAATCAGCACCCGGTCCCTGCTTGCACCCATTCCGCAACAAAACAAACACCCCCCTCTGCATCATTAGCGAGTCAGGTCTGCGCAAATGTGGGTCACTGTGTGTAGTCCCCCCCGCAGCATGTGTCAGCGTGAACTTGAACCTTGAGACCTCAGCAACTGGACACACTCTTCTGTCCCTACCTGTCCCTCCAAAGCAGACTGCTGCCTGCCTGGAGGGGAGCGTGCTGCAGCTGAGGGATGGCACGAGTGGATCAGCAGTTACGGATCGACCAGAACTCTGCAACAGGTCTTCTCCGGTGGCAAGTACAGCCCCCACTCTGCCAGCTAAAAAGACGCCAGATTCCTCTTGCCCAAATTCCTGACCCTATCATCCTCACTAACCCCTTCCCCAGCCTTGCTGATGTCCATAGCTCCCGAGGGCAGAAGGACAGAGTTCAGGAAAAGGAGAGGTTGTTCGATGACCCTCTGTCCCTCTTTGTGCCTGGCTGCATTTTCCTCCAGACAGCCGCTGGTATCTCTCCAGAGCTAAACACAGCCTGTGGACTAAATTATCCCGGTCCAAGTGCTGCCGGGCCACGGATTGCCCTGGACTTGCTGCCCCCTGAAGTGAGAAGGTGGGCTAATGCCAGATCCCTTCTGAGCCAGCACTGTCCAGCTCACTCTTCAGTGCTTTTGTGAACACCAGTAAACTATCTAGGACTTCAGCAGAGTTCCCATATCAAAACAAAGGGCTAACTAGGGAACCACGAGTTTATGCAGCTCTGATTTTTGGCTGTGAGATAGAAACATTAGACTCTATGATATAATGAGTCAGATTCTCATTTCTGTTAATAACCCACAGCACTGTTCTGGCAGTGTAATTTAGCAATAAATCAAATGTGAATTCATTCCCATTTGGAAGCTCTTCCACACTGCCAGAATACTGCTAAGAGGTGGGGCTGTAGCATAAATATGAATCTGGCCTACGGAGTCTTTTTCTACATGTTACCCCTTCAAGCAAGCCATCATCCTTGGGATTCGCTAACCGGGTATGTTTGCTCCATCCCTCCATCTGGCAGGTCATGAAATGTGCTTTGTGAGCCAGAAATATCAGAAAATCACAGAAAAATAAGGATGGAAGTCCTTAGTCTATTCCCAGTGCTGGAAGAGCTAATGAATCATACCTGGAGTATTTTTGAGAGGCATTTGTCTGGCCTATTCTTAAAGATCTCCAATGATGCAGGGGCCACGTACTCTCCAAGCAATCTAATCCAGAGCTCAGCTATCCTTACCACTAATGTCTACCATTAAGCTTTCTTGCTGATATTTAAAACCCTGATGTCTAGCCCTAGCTGTTAGGATACACAAAATCAATCATTCCCACCCTCTTTGCAGCCTTGCTGTTTTTGAGGAATGCCATCTTGTCCCCTCTTGATGTTCTCTTTTTCATACTAAAAAATTGATTATTTCAGTTTTTCTCCCAGAAGTCACATTTTTAGCCCTGAAATCTGGATAGAAGTGACTGGGAATCCCAGGAATGTATCTGCAGTTGTAAGGATCTGAATGCATTTTTGACATTCCCAGTTGTGCTGTGAAATTCCTGCCCTCCTGCACTTCTTCCTCACTACACATGAGAAACATTTTTTGCTGTTGCTGCTGGAAGTGGAAGGGAGAGTTCCGTGAGGGACAGAATAATGGTCTAGAGCCTAGATTATCTTATTCCTATTAAAATCAATGGAAAAATACCCACTGACTTTGGTAGAAACTAAACTACAAGCCAAACACGGATCAGGAACGCCTATGGATGTAATGAAGGGATGTGGCCTTTACCCTCAGCTGACTTTTGGTGCCAATGTGCACTATTCTAGCTTGACACCAAGCCCGTTCCTTTCCCACCACCATGGACCCACCTGCTGGGACTCTAACCGGGTTGTACTTCTACAGCAAAGATCAAAAAGGCTGCAATCAGCTCTGCTTTATGGTCAGCTCTAGTTATTAGTATTGCCCTTGGCTGGGCAAAATACAGAGACTCACCAGTCCATTGCAGTTGCTGATGGCGACCTTTGAGTTCAGGTACTGATCCTGCAAGTGGCCTGCATAGTGGCAGTCTTCGTGGAAATCATGTTGCCAGTCCACGCCATCTCGCTTCCAGTATTCGACAGTGAAGTGCTCAGCCAGCAGGTTGGAGTGCAGTGTTAGGTTGAGGAGGAACTGGGTTCGGTGGGCAGAGACTTTGTAGAAAACCTGCTGCTCAGATGGCTCGTAGGGCAAGGAGCCCAGACTGCGCCGAGGACGTTGCTTCAGCTGGCTTCTCACGTCAAAGGTGAGGAAGTCCCCGTTTTGGTCCACTTGGATGGGGAATGCAATTTCATAGTGATCGAGGCTGGAGAGGAACTCCTCTGGGGGGGGAAAGCAAACACAGGGGGAATGACATTCTGCAAAGAGAGTCAGAGTAAAACACCCAGTGACTTCAGCGTAGAGCTGGCTGCGCCTGAGCACAACTGAGCTGCAGCCAGCACAAGGTGGAGGGACAGGGTCCTGACACAGAGGGTCTGCTCTGTCCAGGCTGCGGGATCCTTGGGGTATTCCAAAAGGCCTTCAGCCTACAGAGCCTTGAGGTATCAACAGGCCTTGAGTCTACGGAGCGTAATCTTCTTCCTCTGCAGGTGATGGAGAGAAACAGACTGGCCCAAGGGGCCATTCAGGACACCCAAATTCTGGCTCTAGACCTGGAATATCCCCTATCTCTGCATCTCCACTGGACAAAGGGACTCCAGGCTGTGCAGAGTCCTACTCTGTGGTTTGGAGGGTTATTTTAACTGGGATCCTTTCAGTAACAAAGCTAGCAATAAGGTCTCTTCAAAATGAGCCAGAACGAGCCTTGGGGCGACAATGTCTCGGGAGAAGACAGTCTTGCTCAGGAACTGTGGAGTTCTTCAGAACTCCAGCTGCCATGTGGACCACCTAACACTGCTTTGATAACCCGTGTAATAAACAGCACCCATACCAGTCTCCCTGATCACAGCTGCATTAGTGCATTAGGTACTGGGCACCCTCCTAAGGGGCACAAAGACAATGTCCTTGCAATGCCAATCTTGCAAACAAAATAAGAAAGAGGGTAACCAGAGTTCCCCAGCTGTGCTGAAAAGGCAGCAAGAAAAGAAGTCAGACATCCCAAATCCCCAGCCATGTCTCTGTCTATGACACCATCCAGCCTTCCCACCTCACCAGCTTGGTGCTCTTTATCATATCAGCCTGGCTTAGCACCTTCTTTTGGGGCACTGGAGTTTTTGAGCTTGTCTCATACCACTTAGGAAATGTGCTCTGACAAAGTCACTGTCCAAAACGTCTGCCTGCATTCACATGGTAATGCAACACTTCCATCTGTCAAAGAAATTGGCACTCTGCAGCCTCGACAGAAATTTCTCATTTTCCAAGCAAAATGTCACAGGCACCGCCAGATTGGATCTAACTGGAAGTCTAGTTCTCTCTGACAGCCCTCAGTATCAGACGCTTCAGCAGAAGATGTAAGAAACTCATGCACTGGCCAGCTGCCCCCCATCACAGCGTATTCTTCTGAATCTCTCGTGGCTGGAGTTTTGCTAATGGAGTAGGAGAGGATTTGCCCTCTTTTCACTCTGGAAGACTACTACTGTGCTTTCTGCATCGTATCTGTAGTTGTTTCCTAAGCAAACAGGAGAGGCCAGGCTGCTCCAGGGTGGCTGCATTTTGCCTGACTCCACAGCACCCATCTTCAAAGCCTTCTCAGCCATCATAAATTTGGACTCCAAATTACACTCTTACCACATGGCAGCACTGGAAAGTTTCCTTTTCCTCTAGTGTGTTTTCCAGTATGGGAGCCTGACAGAGTGGTTTCCTTGGCCACCGGTAATGGGACAGTCCTTCCCACCAGCTGGGTTTAGGGGTTAGCTCCCATCCTTCCAAACCATAAGCACTTCTGGCACTTCTCCCTTATCTCGACAAGCCAGAAATAATTATTAGTTTTTTAACTTCCTGTGCTCCAGCTTCTCCTGTATCACACTGCCTTGCGTGTGATGCAGCCGGGCAAACAAGAGTAATTATTTGTACTTAAGCAATGACCTCAGGCTTGGAAAAATTTGCTATTGGAAGTGTCTTGTTTTTCTTTTTCCCTCTCTGCAGTCCACGTGGGCTTGCAAAATAGTGAATCGGAAAGAGGTTTGTGCACACAGTGGCTTGAAATGGCCTGGGACCCTGGGCTGCAGTTTCTGATCCTGACCTGGAAGGTACGGTCCAGGAGGAAAAAAATGTGTCCAGAGCCTGGGGGTGAGGTTGTGTGTGAGAACCTGCTTTTGGTGTAGTGCTGGTTACCACGCGTCCCCTCAGGAATGGCACTCTGGAAACTGAGGCGCAGGAAGAAAGACTTAAGAGCACTGTCCTGCATCACATCAATGTTTTAGGAAGTGATGCTTTAGGGTAGAGATGCCACAAACAGAAAAAATAATGGAGAATTTCAACACAAGGAAGAAGGCAGTGTCTTCATCCAGTGTTACAGCTGGTTCCTTCCTCTCCTCTAAAAATGTAAAAGGTTAGATTAAGATCTCTTTTACTTTTTTTTTTAAACTCTTTTTACTCTTTTTTTACTCTCTTCTACTTACTTTTACTTAAAAGAGGGCAACAAAGCTGGTGAGGGGTCTGGAGAACAAGTCTTAAGAGGGCTGAGGGAGCTGGGGCTGTTCTGTCTGGAGAAGAGGAGGCTGAGGGGACACCTTATCGCTCCCTACAACTACCTGAAAGGGGGCTGTAGTGAGGTGGATGTTGGTCTCTTCTCCCAGGTAACTAGCGATAGGATGACAGGAAATGGCCTCAAGTTGCACCAGGGGAGGTTTAGATTCGATATTAGGAAAGATTTCTTTACTAAGTGGTCAAACATTGGAACAGGCTGCCCAGGGAGGGGGGGGGGTGACCATCACTGGAAGTGGTCAAAACATGGGCAGATGTGGCACTTGGGGACATGGTTTAGTGGGCGTGGTGGTGTTAGGTTGATGGTTGGACTTGATCTAAAAGGTCTTTTCCAACCTTAATGATTCTGTGATACTCCCTAACCTTGTGTACTCCACCCAACATCACAGACGTTCCCCAGTTCCCTCATTTGCTCATCCTGCCTTGGTCATGCTCCCCATAATACAGACCATACTAGGAGCTACCAACAGCAAGACCAGCACTGTCTGGCGCTTCCTCCCTTCCTTCCAGAAAAGCCATCATGTGCCCTCTGACCTCTCAGCCACTTCACGCTGTATTAATAGATCTTGCCCTTAAATGTGCAGTGCTGCACCCACTGTATCAGAAGGGCTTGCATTGGTGATAAGCAGCCTGGTGTTTCCAGAGAGCTGTCAAACTGCTTCAGAAGAGGTGCTATAAAAAGCCTTTCTCCAGGAAAACCTGCCCATGGCTATGAGGACACTGGGCACCCCTGAAGGACCACAAACCCCCCTGGAGAGGGCAAGGGAGAAAGCTGGGAAGCAGGAGGGATGGGGTGTGGGGAGAGGTACCTCGTTGCCCCATTTTTGGTGGAAAGGGAGCACACACTTGCAGGGGCAGGGACAGCAGAGGAAGGGACAGGGCACAGGGGAGACAGAGGGGTAAGCTGAACAACATGAAGAAGAGAGGGAAGGTGAAAGCGGAGAAGGGATGATTTTTTCCCCTCCTTGTATGCTCACCATTGCCTCTCTGATTACAGAGCTGCTTAAAGGATCAAAAGGAAGCAGATGTTTGCTCTGGTCTTGTCACCAGAGCAAAGAGGAGCCCCAGCTGCAGCCCAGACATGATTCCTAAAGGATGGCTGCGGAAAATGCTATGGAAACCCATGGCTCCAGGCTGACCTGGCATTGTGGAAGTCTCACTACGTCCTCCAAGGGTCTATCGGTTTACCTGTGAGCCAGGAGCAGCGAGATCAGCCTCATGTAACGTTCTATAAAACAGGGAGTATCTGATCTATCACTATAGTTAAACTAAGGTGCTAGCAGAAAATTTTCTTTCGATTAAAAACCATTCAGCAGTGGTGAGTGTGTGCTGAATCCTTGGTCAATTGTTTCAGCTGCTGGTCCCTGCACTGTTAAAAACTGCAGCCTGAGTATACACGTTACATCTGAATCTCGTTACATCTCTGCTGGCTTGAATTGGCCTTCAGCACTGGGCTGCTATTTCCCACAAAGATAATTACAGCTTATGACTATGATACCTTAATCTTTTTCCTGCATAAAACAAAGACACTGATCTGAGTTGTGCACACAGGGCACATGAATCCTGCTCCACTGCTAAGTGGAGCAAGTCACTTGGTCAAAATCAGTGGCTTGTTGAAAACACTGGCCTTTATTCTCCATGCCTCCAACTGCTAAGAGGAGATAACAGCATTTCACCCTCTTGAAAGGGTGTTGTGAGGATTATGTACTTACTATCTCAGCAGCGTGGTGAAGAGAAGCATTGAGTTATATCAACAGCCTGATGCCAACCATTCTGGATGCAGGGAGCTTAAAAAAGCGCTCTGACAGCAAGAGGGGCCCATGGGGCAGCCTGACCCTTGGGGCTGGACAGGGACTGGTGAGGCACACGCTTCAGTCCCTGGTTTGGTGCTCCCACGGCACCATGCTCCCAGCAACAGCACGGGCTGAGACTCATCCCCCAGGCCTGTTCAGGGGAAGGCAGCATCTAGAGAGCACAAATGCATTAACTGTAATTTTGGTGAGCCCTGGCTTTAGATCGAGGTGTATTAGCAAATGGTGCGGGGACTCATGAGCGAGGGAGGATTTGAGCTGCTGTGAGTCAGGATGGAGGTGATCTGGCAGTGAAGTCCTCATCAGAGCGTCGCTCCGCCGTGAACGCGGTGCCGCAGATGGAGGGAGGTGTGAACTGATGGATGCGGGAGGCCCAGAACAGTCACCCCAGACATTGCCAGAGGCTTTGGCGAAAAGGACCAGAAACCATGTTTGTTTCAGATTCAAGAAAATCTGCCTGTGTGACCTTGCACGTTGCACAGTGCCTGCAAGTTCTGAGCCTGACTGCCTCTCCTTTCACCCAGCGCGAGCTGCAGTACAGCAGTGCCCCACGTTTAGCAAGGAGATGATGCTCAGACCCAGGATGGCACATGGCTTTCAGTCACCTTTGTTCCTCTTTCCAGTTATGCCTCATAAGACAACCCACGGCCACCATAACTACAGTCTGATGGCACTGCACTACTCAACAGCCCGGGTACATCGCCAGCTTTGGCCCTGCTGCAATTAATCTGGGCACACGTGGTATTTCAGGATCATGGCTGCATAAGTACCCTGCCGAGGTTTTAACACCTCGCACAGACAAATGTCTAACATCAGAACTCTTTCTTCTTACCTCTGGTGCCTGATGGGAGTGTTCATATTGCCTC